AAGTCGCGACCATCGACGATTGACACCCTCGCGATTCCCGTATTTAAATTTTAATACCGCGGTCGAGAGCGCAGATCGATTTAGATGAGCAATTTCTTATTGCTTTACTGGTAAATCTTTTACGGAAACTGATGGCGGCGATGATCCGAGCACTTTATATCATATTTTATATAAAAAGCGTGACATTAAATAAGCATAACTTTACTAAAATCACGGTCACTTTTCTAAAAGCAAGAAAAATTTATACATATATTCGTATCTTCTCGAAATAATAATTTTTCTTTTATTTACATGTTCGTTAAATTCAGAGAAATTTAGAGAAATTTGTAACTCGTTAGAAAATTAATTTTTTTAGATGAATCAGAAAATTGCATTTTTATATTTCTAAATTCTTGAATTTATATTTTTCGATCTTTCCAACATCTTTTCATACTTAAAAGATAATAAATGTAATAACTGTAAAATTTGAAATTTCGATTGATGTAAATAAACGCTACCTAAGAGGAAGAATCTGATATTCTCGCGAAAATATATATAGAGGTCTTAAGGTAATAGAAAAAAAATACTCTAGGGGAGAGATGTAATAGGAAAGATATACTAGTATGATACCACGCAACGCGAATCGTATACATATGACATTTCAAAGTTGATGGATCGTCGAGAGTCGCGAGGTATCCCCTTAATGGTGCAAAGTAAGTGAGAGAGAAGAAAAAATACTTCGATCCCACTGCAAAAGTAATTATATCTCGTAATTATACCGCGACACATCGTTGAGAAACAAATTGAGAGATTACGAAAACCAGATTCATCCAAACGGGAGCTCGCAGAGAGTTTTCGCATGTAAGTGTATCGTGACTTAATGACCGTAAATATAACATAATCTTGTACGATGCAAAGTCTCGTTATTAGAATTTTTACATCTCGTATCTGATCTGGATTTCACAAGTCATTTGGATGCCCTATGGGACATGAAAAAATATTCATTTCAATAATATTGCGTATTAATTAATGCGTACATAAGATTCCAACGACTTGCATTACTTAATTAATCACTTTGTGTTTCGTTCTCGATCATAAATTCTCCCTATCTATGATAGAAATAGATAGAAAAAATTTAATCAATCAAGCAACATCAAAGAACGCAAGTGAAAACTGATCTCTGGACGTACGCTTTATTAATAAAGATAATTGCGAGATATATCGTTGAGCATAACAACATCTACGATAGTGACCTAAGTGGCGAAAAAATGGATACAAGCAAAAATAGCGGAGAAAAATAGCGCGATAAGAGCCGAAACGTGGGCGAGGGATGGCGAGGAGTAATCGAAACCTCCGTCTTCGATCGGCGATAACCGCGTTCCTTTGTATTCGCTAACTATCACGAGTGCATAATCACTTTTTAACGCGATAAACTATTTGAACTGCGTAGACGAGACCGCGCGACAAATTGGCACATTGCGTGGTCGTATCGGGCCGCGGCGCGATAATGGCCCGTCAAAAATGCATCTCCCTCTCCCTTCAATTTTCATCACGTAGGCGGAGAAACCGGTCAGTTGCGCCGTTCGTCGCAAAAATACTCGCCGTTACACAATATTCAGGAGCCGCGCGGCCCCGTCCCATCTGTCATCTCCGACGAGGGCATTAATGCGCGCGCGTGCGCGTGTAAAGAAAACCGCTATCTGCATAAAACACGCAAGACGAGCGATAATGCTGATCGCCTTTACGCTAATCGCCCGATGCGCAGCTTTGCGCGGATCGTATTCTATTATCGGTCACGACCGAATCGATAAATTAATTAATTCCGTTCCTCATCGATGCCCGAGACGCGCAACTTGATACGCATTAGCGTTTATCGTTTCGTCATGCGGTTTATTGAAAAATTGATTGACGCAACATTATGACACGAAATGAAAATTCGATCGCACAAAGCACGAGAATCAATCTTTATGATAAATGTGTATAAAATGACTTCTTAATCCTTTTCATTTCGGAATAATCCTGAGAAATGGCGTGATATTAAACATATCTCGCGTTATCTCGATATCTAACGCGATATTTCAAATTATGAACTTATTTTCTTGAAAAAACAATTTTCTTTTTTCAAAACATGTCTCTCTCCAAAATATTAAAATATTCTCGAAATACAAAGAATATTCTCTTCGAAGAAGGGATCAAATTCTCGATGATATACATTTTAATCGCAATCGAAATAACACACATATGAAATAAGGCAACGTCATCATCGACGAGCGAGAATTCGGACTTCGTAGAAGAGCCTCGTTAAATCGTCTCGCGATCGGAAGCGTGGACCTTTTTTACGCACCTCGTAAAACTCGGGGACGCGTAGTCGTCAGCGCGGCTGGCTTCTCGCCGCGCTCCTGTCACGATACGACGGAGAGAGCGATAGAGATAAATAGATAGATAGATAGAGAGATAGAGAGAGAGGGGGGGGGGGAAACCACACGAGGGAGGCGACGTGTTATCGGCCTCTCGGCGAGATAACCGCAAACGATTTCCCCGTAGCGATCGGTGTCTATCGTCTCTCCAACGTTCCCGCGCCTCGCACGATTTACGCCGCGAGACGTATTTCCACCGGCGGCGTAAATCGCGCGGTTCCCGCGGCCTCCTTTAATCACCCCGTTCGTCTTTCTTCGCGGTAAACGTCGCCAGATGCTCGAGCGTTATCTTCCACCGCGTCTAAAGAGCTTTCCACCATGATGACGTGTCGCCTTTGCTGAAGAAACACGTATAATGCCTTCGGAACATGTTCTGTATATATTTAGAATCATCTTTATAATATGTAATCATAAGGGAAAAAAAGGCCATTAGAGCCTGGACGCGCAATAAGTGGTGCGTAATAATTAATGAAATATTTTAATGCATCGTTTTTGTTTTAATTTAATTTTAATTTAATTTTAACGTTCTTTTGTCATCGTTGAAAAAGATTCATAGAGGAGCGAAATGTTTGGTTAATTATATGTTTTTAATGCTTTATTAATTATTACGCATCATTTACCGTGTCCAGGTTCTAATGGCCCTATTTTCCCTTTATAATTACATATTATCAAGGTAATTAAATATACAAAGTATGTTACGAAGATATACGTGTTTCTTCGGTAAGGATGACACGTCATCATCGAAAACTCTTTAGACTGACTCTTCTTTTCCTTTATGATTTTTAGTTATTTATGAGCCTCGTTTCTTATCTTTTACATAGTTATAATATTACGAAAAAGCAAAGAAAAAATTTCGAGTGAAAGCGATATATTGTAAAAGCATCGGTGAAGAAAGATATAGGCGTATTGAGAAAAATTAAATTTATATTAGAGATTTAGAGACTTTTTCTTATTTTTATGATGATTTATATAAATATTAAACGTGTATCTAAATTTCAAATACGTTTTTTTTCTTTATAAATTTATAAATTTATATTGATTAACACGAGCTCGAAAAACTTTAGTAACGAAATTTTACACAAAATCCTGATACCGATAATTAAATAATTTCTACAAATTAAAAATGATACACATTTTACTTATCGCTCAACTCAAAATTGATTTATACAATGAACATTCTTGATTAAATCAAGATCGTCATTAAAAATCGATAAAAATTGATGGACTGTAAATTAATCGTATCGATCACGAGAGTTCGATTATCACGATTTACTTTAGTACTTATTCGTTTAGGAAATAAACTATTATATTTCATCGACATTGTGAAATAAATCGAGCTATGGATCTCTCTCAAAGGATGGTCAACATAGTTGGAATTCCGTGATCGTCGATCGATCGGGCATCAGATAATCTTCGAGAAGAATATTTTAATAGAAAGGTTCCCACACACATAGAAGAGATCCCGCTGGTATTTAGACACAAAGAGAAGGACACAAAGAGAAGGAAACGTCTGGAAATCTGACGCCCGCTTTTCATCGCGTGGCATCGTGTGTATCTGCCACAGGCAATGTCAAATGTTCACAAATCTACGTCATTTTCGCGTATGAGAATTGTTACGAGAAACCCACGAAATTTCGGAGATCGAATACAGATGCAACTATGATGTCGTGAATTTTTTGTCCCTCTCAACGCTCTGTATGCCTGCGGCATTTTACTCGGTTTCGACATTTTTTTTGGAGATCTGTCTTTTATTTACGTGAGATTCGGTGCATGGATTCCAGACGAATGATTCAATGCTCGTGCCGGAAATACATCTGATGCACACCGTGGCGTGATTAATTCGACGAAAAGGCGAGCCAAGCCGCTTGATAATCTGACGTAAGCCAGAAACAATTCTTCTCCCCGCGATAAAATGAAAAACGGAGCAATATTGTGACAAGGAGAGAAACATATAGCGTATTACGTTACATAATATTAGGATTATTCATTGTAATATCACGCGCGCATCGACAAGATTTTAGATGAGCTGTTAATATCAAAGACGCTTCACTATGCAAACTAATGTTTGCAATTTATGCGCAATTTAAATGTGTCTGCGGTCACTTAAAAAAAAGATTACCTCCTCGGAAGAATACACGTGGACGAGATAGATTTACGTCTGTCGGAGTTTACGGATAATTCGCGAAAGGCATAAATTCACGTTGAGTAAAATAAAAAGAATGCGTCATAGAATAATTATGAAAAATCCTAGAAAACCCCTCTAAAACCGCATATTCTGCGTGCGTCTTAACAAAAGAGACAAAGAGAATCCTTCGCAGCGAGATATTGGCGCAAAATAGATCCATAGATCCTGTTTAATTGCTAAAGAAAATATGTCAAGAAAATTCATTTGACATCGTCGCAATCAATCCTAGAGATTATTTCAAAGAGACTGAGCATCCTCTCGATGTTCTCACGATCGCGTTACGTTCCGCGCATCGGGGACGAACGATTTATACCGGTATCTCGCGAGGGAGCCGAGCTTTCGCTTCTCGTCGCATCGAGGTTGCACGAGACTCGGGACGCCGCTTGCACCCGGCGGCGATTCGTGTTTATCACACTCACCTTGACTCCGAGGACGGTGTGGATGGCCTCTTCGACACGCGCAAAGTTCCCCTTGCCGAGGGGCCTCAGCATCTGATACTTTCCGACGTGGACCAAGGACTTCTTCGCGGGCGCGACTACCACGTTGCAGCCGCTCTCCGTCGCGTTCGTACGCGTCATGTCGTCCGCTGTCAAACACGTCACGCGGTTAGGAAAAAGCGATTCGAAAGTTTTGCCACCTCGTTAGACCGTGAATGCTCGGATCGTTCAGATTACGAGTAGGTGGTGGCCTCACGATACGCGGCGCGAGCTTTATTACCGCTAAAATCAGCTCCTCGGGATGCGATACGAGACCATACGGACGATACGCGGCTCGCGTGACTCGGACATATTCACAGCTCTACACAATTGCGAGATCTCGACGTGCGAAACTGTCCTTTTCTTTCTCTCTTTCTCTCTTGTTGCTTCTCAATCAACGTCGACTCGCGAAACACTCGAATGCGCAGCCCTAGCATATCGTGATTAGAGACACTGAAGTCAGAGGTCACTGACTGGACACGAATTAGCTACTTTTGATTGGTCCGCCATTTTTCCCGCTGATTTTTAATTCTATTAATAAAAAATCAAATACAATTTTAATATTTTTGTACTATATAATACTTTATTGATTATTATTGATTATTATTATAAATAATTATTAGCTTATTATAAATAAGATAATATTATAATATTATAAGATTGTTATTATAACTATTATTATTTATTATTAAGTTATGCATTTTGCATTTAAATAAGCATAAATAATAATTTCATAGTTATCATTTATTATTATTTAAATGCAAAATGCATAGCCATAGATTTGCTATCGTATACTTTCTTTAAATTAGTTTTGTCTTTTTTATAAAAAAATGTTTAGTCTAAAAACCATAAATCCTTTAATTAATCCTTTAATAATATAAAAAAATAAATTGTGGCAGGATATATATTTGTTTATGTATATTTTTCATGATACATATATGATTTCAGTGTCTCTAATCGTGATTGACTCCTGCTGTATAATTATTCTTTTTTTTCTATTAAGCAAAATGGAGATCTTTAAGAGACAGGGTCGACTTAGAAAGATCGCAGAATTTTCTCTTCTATTAAAGTTTAGTTATAATAAAAAATTTTTTATATAAATATTTTTGCATTTTTTTAAATTAAAAAAATTTACATATATAAATATATTTGAAAAAAGTTAATATACTTATAAAATATATAAAAAAATAAATTTATATACAAATATATATAACTTGACAGTTTTTCAGCACTACTTCTGATATTTAAATAGAACAAAATATCTGTTTTATACCGTACAATATAGCTTTACGATCACGAAATACGTAATGATGTACAGCGAGGTTAATCATGCGCTTTTGATGTTAACGCGCAATTTAAATTCTGTCCTCATTAACAAACGAATCGGCAGGTACTTTGCATTTACATGCGCCATAATATATTCGAATGTCGTGCGGAAATGCTGTCCCACTAATATTTGTACTTTCATCGGTTACAATTGCGGGGAGCAATTAATACGTACATTTAAATACGATAATATCCACAATGTAGCAATGACCGGCAACAATTTAACTTTGCGTAATCCTGAAATAATTATAGAATTTGTATAACGTATCAAAACTTTTATCATTATCAGTTTACTTTACAGCTATTTTCCCACATATACTACTCATTCATCGGATCAAGTTTAATTATCACCTACAGCCAAAGGGAAAGTTGCTATAAATTTTTCTTCATATTAGCTCCTTTCCGTTTTAAAATTATTGCAATAACATGCAACTCACGCACTTTATTTTATTGCCGAATATATTATGCATACGTAAGATTTGGCATTCGCACGGCAAAGATATGATAATTACGCAAAATCGAAAACCGCGTCGTAGTCGCCTATCACCGACAGCCACTAATTGCACATGCTCGTGCAGCGAGGTCAGCAGGAAGTCGCTATCTAAGGCAGGACTTGGATATCTTTCGCGCACTTTATGACAAACAGCTGTTCTGGCTGAGTCAGAGTCCGCGGCCTTGTGTAGCGAAATTGTAGCAGAAGATTAATCGTAAGTTCTGCCATTAGTGCGCAAAATGAAATTTTTGCGTAGCTTCTTGATTCTTTGAGTATATTGTATCCTATCAATATTGGATTTATTAAATCTAGCTGTATTGAGAGAGAGAAAGAGAGAGAGAGAGACGTGATTATATCTAGCTATTTTGATTTTTATTGGAGATTGAAAAAGGAAACTCTCTGTTTGACTAAATATCATCGTCGGTAGCGTTGCCAAATGCGTAAGCATAAATATTTTATGCTTTTCTCGTGTGATTTTACGATCGTTTGTTGAATGTTTATTTTAACATAATTTTGCTTTAATTGACATATAATGAAATTACTAAAATTAATTTATTAAAATTTTTATAAAAACATGATATAATTAATATATATATATATATATATATATATATATATATATATATAAAATTCATAATAACACATAAAATTAATTAAACATTTACATTATTTATTATCACATTACATTCATATTTAATTCATTTGAACAATTATTTGGCTTTGTATCAATTAAAACAAAATTTAAGATAATTTCTATTAAACAATATCGAAAGATGAGCTAAAAAAATCAGAATAAAAATCAACATTATAAAACTAAATTATTACTATTATTTTAATTAATAAAATTACTAGAACATTTTTTTATCATATATATATATATATATATATATATATATATATATATATATATATTCAAAAAAGATATTAAAATCTATCCTATTTAATCTGTCAAATTTATTAAAATTTATTCCATCTAATTTATTTTAACCCATCTATTTTAAGGTAATAGTGTTATCTATAATCTATAATGTCTACAAATTTGTTACTGCAAAATAAAATAAAAATTTGTCACTCACCGACCGATGCGTAATAATAGCATTGAAAACATTGAAGCTACGTTGATCTATAACATATAAATAGAATTTAAATTGTAAAATATTTCAAAAAATTATTATTCTACGCGTTGAATTTTATATTCATGTATGTACATATACACAATAACAATAAGCAGATTAATAAAATAATTTTATAAATTTTGAAAAGATTAATAATTCTGTTAAACTAATATCTTTTTTTAATAAAAGTTACAATTCTCTAAAAATAGAAACTCTTTTACTTAAAATTATATAATTCTTATATATAAATTTTTTCTAAATCTTTTATCTTGTTTAATTAATAAATATATGTAACTAATACTTAAATAATAAATCATTTACAAATAATAAATTATTTACTCTTAATATTGCTCTGCCAGTGTTCTCTTTTCAGGATATTAGGGTCATAAGGATCCGTTGACTTACATGCAGTATTTAAAAATGACATTTTCAAATTCCGTGCTCGCGAAGCTCTACGCTATTTTCGCGAGAAGTAATTTAAACATACGCACAAGCTGAAAAACTAACAAAAAACTGAATCTGAAAACTGATGGATGGGACTGACGTTCCGAGTCTAATTTCAGAACATTTCTGATCTCAAAATAATTTGAACTCACTTACAGATGTGATTCGTTATAATAGCTACGATAGCTATAGGCACGACAAAGAAGAAAAATATTCATTTCCGAGATCATCAGACAATCCAGGTAATCCAGAAAATAGGGATTGATCTAGAAAATAAAGATCAATTCTCTTTCTTTTTTTTTCTCATCGAGAGCAAAAATTGTGCTAAGTTATCCCAGTTTGTCAAGGCGAAATATAGATCTTCAAAGTATAGAAAAAATGGAAGCCGTAGTACGTTAGGTTACACGTGAACACATATATGGTGACCATTGATATAGTGTATGAGAGACGCAGGACGACGACCCCATTAGCCCTTATCGGGCAATCAACCGAACTTTAACCGATTCACAAATCCAACACACTAAAAACCGACAGTGTGTATTTTAGATAACTTCCCTTTTGGGGTAAACTTTTCATACTGAGTCCTACTAACATCAAGATATACCTGTCAGGAGAGTTATATATAACTTATGTAATATATTTTATATAATTGCAAGATTGTATCTATATATCATATTATAATATAAATGAATAAATATACAAGTTAAAATTAAAGATAAATATTTGCGGCTTATTCGAAAAAATAATTTGCTGTTTTTATATGACTCTCGATCAGATAAATCCCCGGATAAACAATAAAAATGTAAAAAATGAGCACTAAACACTGCAAATAAAATTAATTTATTTATTACTTTCGCAAAGTTTAATACAATTCATGTGAAATATTCTATATTCTGAATTTTTAAAATTTATTATTAATTAAATAATTTATATGTTATTGCTTTTCATTATTTTAATGCATTTAAAATTTTAATTTTAATTTAATTATTTTAATCGATTTCGCAATATTTTATTATGATTTTAATTAATTAACAAATTACATTTAGATAATTTCGGTAAAAAATTTAAACAATTCAAAAAAATATATTTGATTTTAACTTTCCAAGCATCGTTAGTGAAATAATTAGTGCTTGTAAAAATCGTAACGAAATAATAATTTATAATCTTTGTTTCTGTTGCTTCGATTTCTACTTGAAATAATAAATAATCTCGCAAAATGTGCACTTCGATAAAGATAAAGATTTATCATTTCAATACAATTACGTATCATATATTGTAAAGTTAATTAATCGTTAACTGTCATAATTATAAAATTTCTCGATTTATTATGACCATGTTTTGAAAGTTTCGAAAAAGAATTTGATAATACTGAGCGTTTTTTGCATCACTACTAGCTAGTCGACTGTCGCTGTACGAATGATAAATAAAGTCCCGGCATGTAAACAGTAAAACACTGTACACCGCCAAGGCCAAACGCTGTGTTATTGTTAATTTATTGCCGAAATATTCTACGTAGATACTATAATATATGTACTATATATACATAGAATATACTGTGATTATACTGTGTTTTTCTTGAATTATAAATTAATTATTAATTAAACAATTAATATATCACGAAATTATTCTTATATTAATCACTCAACCCTGTGATTTGTATTTTATTGTGCATTCTTAATACGAATAACATATATATAACTATTCGACTTTTCAAGTATCATTAGAAAAATTATTATCTGTAAAGATAACACAAAATGATAATTAATCACTTTTATTTTTATCGCTTCAATTTCTATTTGAAATAATAAATGAATAAGTCACAAGAAATGCGCATTTCGATAAAGATATATCATCGCAATGTAATTACACGTTCGTTTGTTATAAATTGATTAATCGTTAATTGCAATAGCAAATTATTTCGTGATATTTGTTATGATTGCAA